AGATATTTTTATTATATACTGATCAAAGCTTTCTGAGCTGTACAAGTAAAAAGCTAATACCATCATAAAAAATGTGAGGACCCTTAGACCCACAATAATTATTCAGGCAGAACAAAAAGACTACTTTTACCTGTAGTAAGAAAATATTCATACAAGTTTATAAATCAGTCATCACTCAGCATGCAAAATGGCAAACACATGCTTTCTGCATACTTACAGGCAGGACAGGCTAGAATAAGGCATTAGAAAAAAACATTACAGTATAGGAGATGCAAATCGCATTTCAACACAACAGGAAGAAATGGCCAAGCAACTCTAGGTTTGTAAAGAAATAAGAAAAGGCATGCTTGCATTAGATATTGCCAAGGATCACTGAAAGGAGACCCACACCGAAAAGCAATAGTCTGGCTGACAATGATAACAAATACCAAAAGATTTAATTGATTGATGAATAGTGTTTCTTGGGGCAAAGGCCAGATATGGCCAATGAGTACCATGACAATTAGTGATGATTGTCAACCTATACTGTCTTGCTATTTGGGAAATATAAACAGTGTATCTCACATAGAAATATGTTAGCCTAATACCATATTCTATGTAAATGGCATTATACATGATGATGATGTTTGATGTTTTATGGCGCAAGGGCCGTTTCACGGCCAAAGAGCGCCAGTTCATCTTGCTAAAAAAATTGGACAACGATTGTGATAAGCGGCTGTATAAGGGCCATAAAATTCCTCGCGGTAAGGCGGTAAAAACATACAAGTAATAAAATCATGACCATGCCGTGAAAGGTGTGTGTGGTGTGAATAGATGACAAAAGTTGGTGATAATAAAGACGATGGTGGATATGTATGGCATTAGCACAAGTGCCTCACTCGTTCATACCCTTGCGTCCAAGGGCCGTGAGGCAAGTGCTTTCTTGTGTAACCACCGCAGCAAAAACCTCTCTGGAGAGGTCATGCTACGGGATGCCTGGGTATATGATATGGAAACTATGAATTTCTTTAAAAAACGCTAACAATGATTTGTGACTAAAAAGCGGTTCCCTACCGACGAACATTGCAGGGTGTAAAGGTATATGTTGTCGGTAGGGTAATGGAAAGTGTTGTTCTCTTACAGTGTCCAATTGTTTGCACTCAATTAAAATGTGAAGGACTGTCAATGGTTCACCACATCTGTCACACAATGGTGGATCGCCACCAGACAAAAGGTGTGTGTGTGTCATGTATGTGTGTCCTATCCTGAGTCTCGTTAGTATTACCTCTGTATGACGCGATTTCGATACGGGCAGCCAATGACCAAGGTGTGGCTTAATAACGTGTAGTTTGTTTTGTGTATGTGTATCCCACTTGCTCTGCCAGTATACTCTGAGGTTTCGTTTGAGAGACGGCTTAAGATCGAGGGCCGGGATTGATATAGGTGTAGGGGCAGTGTTTTTGTGGGCGGATGCAGCGAGCTGATCCGCCCTCACGTTGCCTTGAATCTCACGGTGCCCTGGCACCCAGCACACTACAACATGTTGTTTGAGTGTGTAGAGTGTGCACAAATGGAGTAAAGTGAGATGAGGACCGGGTTTTTTTTGTTTTTTAAGACTGTGCAGAGCCGTTACCACACTGAGGGAGTCTGTATAAATTACTGCTTTTTGTATGTGTAATTGTTTGATGTGTTTAGCTGCCACAAGTATCGCGTAAGCTTCCGCTGTGAAGATACTTGTGCCTGGATGTAGAGGGCCAGCATCCGAGAAGGATGGGCCAACAACAGCGTAGGACACAGAGGAGTTGGACTTGGAGGCATCTGTAAAGAACTCAGGACGTGTGTATTTGTGTTGAAGTTCCAGGAAGTATGTTTGGATATGGGCAATAGGCGCATGTTTTGTAACTTCAAGAAAGGACACATCACAGTCTATAGTCTGCCATTGCCACGGTGGCAGATATGCTACAGGAGCCATTAAACTATGTTCAAGTGAGACTCCAGTTTCCTCAGCTAGACTTTTCAGGCGAACTGAGAAGGGCTGCCTCATCGAAGGCCTGTTTTGAAACAGAATGGAGCTCGACAAATCATTAATAGTGGAGTATGAGGGGTGCTTCTTATCTGCTTTCACCTTAAGGAAATAAACAAAGGACATGTAAGTTCTCTGCAGATGAAGCGACCACTCATTTGACTCAACATAAAGGCTTTCTACGGGGCTGGTGCGAAAAGCACCCGTAGAAAGGTGGATGCCCAAATGGTGCATGGGGTCCAGCATCTTCAAAGCACTTTGAGTCGCAGACTGATAAACAATGGCCCCATAATCTAAGCGGGTGCGAATGAGGCTTCGATACAGAGTCATGAGACATTGCCTGTCACTACCCCACGTAGTACGTGACAACACTTTTAAAACATTCATGGCTTTTAAACATTTTGTTTTTAGATACTTGATGTGCGGTACGAAGGTCAACTTGTTGTCCAAGATTAATCCTAAGAATTTATGCTCCGCATTGACAGACAGACGTTGACAGTTCAATTCAATGTCAGGTTCTGAGTGCATGCCTCTCTTTCGGGAGAACAAGACACACGTGCTCTTTTGTACATATAATGTAGATAATGTCCATGAGTGTTATGACCATTAAAGTTAGCGATGAAGGAATAAGTAAAATGGGTTGACAATAGCACTGGTACCTCAGCAGAGCCATTGGCAGCAAGGCATACATTCTATAAGCATGATTGCATTGAAGTTACAGCCTGCAAAGGAAATGCACTGATACAGCCTGGCAAAGTAATTTCTGGCATTATTTTTTTTTCAAATAAATTTAAAACTGTTCTAACATTAAAAATAAAACAAAATAGTGAGTGCTACAGTGACTGTCCAGTGGCAACAACGGCATTACAGCAATGGCATAACAAAAAAAAAAAGACATGGCAGGGCCACACTGCATACAAGGCATGAAATCCTGCATGGAGACAAGTGCTACAGTAAGACTTTTTTTGCCCATCTTGCACGCTAAAACAAAAATGATGCTTGTGGTTGAGTTCACAAGAGTGCTAATAGCCATCGGGGGCCACCACTGTTTCTTTAGCTTTGCCTAAGCACTAGTGCAATGTGATGTATTGTATTATTGAGGCACGATTGTGGTCCCCATAGTTTACGTGGTTAAAAAAGAGGAGTAGTGTGGACAAACCTTTTCGTCCCTCTTCCAACCTAGACCTATAATGCTTGAAATGTGTGTGTTCGGAACGAGTTCCTACCCTTCTACAGATTCCGTCGGGCACAGCCTTTTTACTATAGTTGCATGCATTTCTGTCTCCTTCTTGCAATAAGGAGAGTGCAAATTAGGCACAAAAGCTCCAACGAACCCACCAATAAGCCATTTACTGATTAGGTCACTCGCAAAAATTAAAAACGAGAGGTACAATTGCATGACTTCATGGTAGAGTGCAGAAAGTTACCGACAGTCCAGAACATGCCATGGATAAATTTTAGTTTTTTGTATACTCTATATCAAGTTTTGAATTCGATTGATCAATATGTGGGGTTTATTGTCCCAAAACCACCATATGATTATGAGAGACGCCGTAGTGGAGGGCTCCGGAAATTTCGACCACCTGGAGTTCTTTAACGTGCACCCAAGTCTGAGCACACGGGCCTACAACATTTCCGCCTCCATCGGAAATGCAGCCACCGCAGCCGGAATTCGAGCACGCGACCTGCGGGTCAGCAGCCAAGTACCTTAGCCACTAGACCACCGCGACGGGACAAGTTTTGGATTAAAAAAAAAAATCTTATATTCTGGGTAGTCATGCATGTAAAAGGTACATGTCAACTTTTTTTCTATTTTGCTTTTCTTTACTGTCACACATGACAAAGGGCAGTTCAATGTAATTTTTGCACATAAAATTGCGTTCTAAATTTGCTATCTTCTTTTTGACTATTCATAGAGAAGTACACTACATGCAATGTTATGATTAATATCCATAAATACGAGTAGCATGAAGCTTCGAACTACCGCTCAGACAAGAAAAGACAACTTGGATGCCACAAATATTTATGTTTACAACAAGCCCTATTGTCAGGAGTCTGCCAAGTAGAATGAAAGTGAAAGACTTCTTTTCATACTTGCATACACCACAAGGGGAGAAGCAACAGACATTACTGCCATATAAAAGTTTGGAAAATAGTTGTTGGCAGCTGAGTACTCTAAGTAATGTTTGGCTCTTCAGACATTGCTTAGACAGTAAAGCTACTTGAAACAAAATTACATATTTATTCACAGTGCCTTAAGAAATGCTCGTTACATGTAACTAATAGTGCAGTGGAAATAAATCTTTCAGGTTCAACATTAGTCCCTATTTGGAATAAACTGGTAATTGAACTGCATAGATGCCAATTTGGCTTCATTACAGCACTCTACAAAGACAGTTTTTAGGCCCCGTTACAGTGGTGTTACACCTACAATACATTGTTAATTAGTCCATCAGTATTTGCCTGAGCACTATGGCCATATATGGCTCTTATGCCAAAGCGCGTGTCATCTATAGGTTAACGCTACACTAGTGAGGGAACAGCCATTTTCCCCTTTTATCTCCATTTGTTTTGGAAGATAAGAAGGTCCGCCATCACAGCAGATGATTATTAAAGTAAATCACTCGTCACAAAGTGATTTTTAATTAAGTAAATCATTAGGTGTACTCGAGCAAAGCCAAAACAACTTTTCTTTATTTCAAGTAATGTTTTAAGCATAAAAGAAATAATGCTAGCACTGACATATTCCTCTACAAAGTGTGGCACGCTATATATTAGGTACACACTTGAGGCAGTTACTTAGAAAAATTACTATATGCAAAAAAAAGAAAAAAACAACAACAATACAACAGAAAGGAAAAATGATAAAAATTATACGCATGGTGTACAACACTTCCCAAGTGAAATATTACTTGGAGTCAAAAGCGAACCTCCAAACTGGCAGAGGTCTACAAGTATATCCGTAAACTAGAATGTGCCTTACACTAACGGTACTTACATCCTTGTTGATGGGTTTTCGGGTCCTTGTAGAGATGCTCAATTCGACCAGTGTTGAACGAGCTGGACCTACGAATTATTCCATGAACTTCGTAGCCTTTTCCCAGAAGAAACTCCGCAAGGTAAGATCCATCCTTTCAGAAAACAATGTACAATACATGAAAAATGTTAATCAAATCATCTCTAACTTGAGCTTCAATAATAAATGCAGCTTATTATAAACATTGCCGGATCGGATATGATCAGCCTTACAATAGATAACTGAAATGAAATACTTGGCCCATGCTTTTAGAATTAATGTTGAGTGCTAGGGACACCAAGCTGAGGCATTACGTAGAACAATAAAACTGTGGGCCTTTACGAGGCACGTCAAATCTATCTGTTACCTTATAGATCACCTAGCCCTCAGTAGTGGAGCAAGAAGAGCCAGCCTCTTTGTATGCCGACTATTAAACTTCAGTTGCTCAGCACTGTGAGACTGACTCACAGCTCAAGAGAGTCATAGATGCCAAGAAAAAGCACTATTTCCCATTTCAAAACTCAGCACTACATTTGCATGCTCACTTTTTATGCTAGCTACAAAGGTCCCTATTTCAGGCTAACACAGATAAGTCATTAGATATTTATTCTTTTTACACTACTCCTGGAAGACGAAGTCCAACTCCTGATAAAATTTACACAAAAATTTTTTAATAATTGCTATAAACCAAACACTTTGCACATGTAACTTCTAAAATGAGTTCAGTGAAAATTTTTTTATCGTCATGTCCTACATTTGTATACTCACCAATATGTCAATTATTCCATAATTTGAGCCAATTATAATAGGGCAATTAGTCAATTATAGGAAAATCATGCAGTTTCACCCTTGCGCTACCCAGCGCTATCAACTCTGCTTTGAGTGAAAAAGCCGGGTGTGCGCACCATACCGAGTAGCCACCACGACACGAGACATCGACTTCATGGTTTTCACAGCCCCATAATGCAAGGAATAGCCGTTGTTTCTGATAAACGGCAGGTTGACAGTATGAGCACATGCCTGTTTTCCTACAGCATGGTTGAGAGCACAGCAGTACTGCAGCATACGAGTTTATAGTATACATATGATTGTGTTTGGTATTTGGGGAGGCTTCAAATGCAAAAACAAAAAATCGCTACGAAGTATCTAGATTGCCACAAAAGTTTGGATCTGTTGTTTTGGAAGGCCTTCTACATCATTAAATCCACTTGACCCTACAGTTAATATTCAAAATGTTGTATAATTGACCTTTATTAAACTTAAGCTTAATATAAACAAATTACCATAACGAGCATCAAATAACTACAAACCATTTGTCAGTGGTTTAACAGACCTTACAAGCTCTTCTTAGAGCAGAGAGTAAGGGGGACATATACGAACAAAACGAAAATAAGAACAATGAGAATGTACACAGTTGAACTATTTAATTCAATAATGGTGAACTACTTTGAATTCTTGATTCCTACTATGCACAGACAGCCTGTATTTAGCTGTACGTGCATAGCAGACAGCTATATACAGGCTGTCTGTATATGCAGACAGTCTGTATATAGCAGGGTCATTCCATATCAAAATATCAGCTCTCATATGAAACACTGGTGTCCGCACCACTATTGCTCTATCTCTTTTGTTTATTTGCTTTGTAATGATATGTGTATGTAATCTAACTCATTTTCAAAGCCTTGTTGTAATTTTTAATATGTATAAGCTCTCTACTAGCTCTTCGCAATGTTTTTGTGTTGTGATGTTTCTTTTTTTTTTGCCAATGCAGTCGGTCTGTGTGAAGAATGTATGATGTGGTGCTAGAGGCCTCGTCAGGTGACTCATAATGTTGCCTTTCGTCTCCTGCACCCCAGCAATCATGTATTGTAAAAAAAAAAAAAAAAAAAATGGGCCCAGTGGTCTTCCAACCATTTCCAGTCATGCCGCAAAAAATTGTGCTGGAATGTGTAAACCTGAGTAGTAGTCACTGAGGCAGTACTTTTCGCAAATTTTTTTATGCCTCAAGGGCACTTTAAGCTTTGTGCGTGGATGTAAAACTGGGTCACACAAAACAACTAAAACAGAACACAGGTTATTTCTAGACTTGTGCATATAATCAAATATTTTGAATATTTCAACAAATATTACAGTATTAGAATTTGCTTCTACTCGAATTTAAATTGCTAAAAATTTTGAAGTATTCAAAATGAACGAATAGGTGTATATTCATTCGCATGTAACTCAATGTAAGGGGGTTTCACTGCGGTGAAGGTTTGCAAAGCTGTGAAAGCACCTTTGCAGGTATTTCAACAAATATTACAGTATTAGAATTTGCTTCTACTCGAATTTAAATTGCTAAAAATTTTGAAGTATTCGAAATGAACGAATAGGTGTATATTCATTCGCATGTAACTCAATGTAAAGGGGGTTTCACTGCGGTGAAGGTTTGCAAAGCTGTGAAAGCACCTTTGCAGGGAAAATCCACACTGCCGCGAAGTCTTACTTGAATGTTAAATGAACACCACACGGTCACATTGATTCGCCATTGTTGAAGTTTAAAAGCTTGTTATACCGACTTATATGCTTTAGGTGTAGTAAGTTTTAAAATTAACGTAATTTGCAGGTTATCATTTGTATTGTACAAGAAGTCAAATCCTGCTACTATTCAAAGTTGTTTATTCTTCCTTACCCCCCCCCCCCCAAAAAAAAAATGGCATTTGCACAGGCCTTCTCTCAATTTTTTTAAAGATTATACTGTGCTGGTTTGTTAGGTCATAACAAATATGCCCATTTCGCTTTATAATATGTGATATATACTATCAGAATTTGATTAGAAACTAATCAACCGAAATCGCTATTCTCTTCGAATTTGCTTCGGACCTCAAATTCACTATTCGTACAAGCCTAGTATTTCGGGATGGATATCGACAATATGGACTTTATAAATTCACATACCAATTGTCAAAAGTAGAGTAAGAAAGAATAGGGCCGATTTTTACAGTGTAGCATTTGAGCCTTGCTTTCACTACCACGATATGAATCGCAAGATTACTCACTGTGTGTGTGAAAAGTTGGACCTTCCCCTCTCTGCCGTCAGCGTCACAGACATGCCATCCCAACAGCGGTGATGATGATATATGGTGTTTTTTGGCGCAAGGGCCATTTGTTGGCCAAAGAGCGCCATTTCATTTTACTAAAAATATGGACAATGATTGTGATAAGCGGCTGTATAAGGGCCATAAAATTCCTCGCGATAAGGCGGGTAAGAACATACAAGTAATAAAATGACGACCATGCCGTGAAAGATGATGATGATGTTTGATGTTTTATGGCGCAAGGGCCGATTCACAGCCAAAGAGCGCCAGTTCATCTTACTAAAAATATGGACAATGATTGTGATAAGTGGCTGTATAAGGGCCATAAAATTCCTCGCAGTAATGCGGGTAAAAACATACAAATAATAAAATCATGACCATGCCGTGGAAGGTGTGTGTGGTGTGAACAAATGACAAAAGTTGGTGATAATAAAAGACGATGGTGGATATGTATGGCATTAGCACAAGTGCCTCACTCGTTCAAACCCTTGCGTCCAAGGGCCGTGAGGCATGTGCTTTCTTGTGTAGCCACCGCAGCAAAAACCTCTCTGGAGAGGTCATGCTACGGGATGCCCGGGTATATGACATGAAAGCTGTGAATTTCTTTTAAAAACGCTAACAATGATTTATGACTAAAAAGTGGTTCCCTACCGACAAACATTGCAGGGTGTGAAGGTATATGTTGTCGGTAGAGTAATGGAAAATGTTGTTTTCTTAGAGTTTCTAAATGTTTACACTGGATTAGTATGTGAAGGACTGTTAATGTTTCACCACATTTGTCGCACAATGGTGGATCGTCACTAGACAAAAGATGTGTGTGTGTTGCGTATGTGTGTCCTATCCTCAGTCTCGTTAGTATTACCTCTGTATAACGCGATTTTGATACTGGCAGCCAATGACCAAGGTGTGGCTTAATAATGTGTAGTTTGTTTTGTGTGTGTGTATTCCACTTGCTCTGCCAGAAGTCTCTGATGTTTCGTTTGAGAGACGGCTTAAGATCAAGGGCCGGGATTAATATGGGTGTAGTGGCGGTGCCCTCGTGGACGGATGCAGCAAGCTGATCCGCCATCACGTTGCCTTGAATCTCACGATGCCCTGGCACCCAGCACACTACAACATGTTGGTTGAGTGTGTAAAGTGTGCATAAAATAGAGTAAAGTGAGATGAGGACAGGGTTTTTTTTGTTTTTTAAGACTGTGCAGAGCCGTTACCACACTAAGGGAGTCTGTATAAATTACTGCTTTTTGTATTTGTAATTGTTTGATGTGTTTAGCTGCCACAAGTATCGCGTAAGCTTCCGCCGTGAAGATACTTGTGTCTGGATGTAGAGGGCCAGCATCCGAAAAGGAAGGGCCAACAGCAGCGTAGGACACAGAGGAGTTAGACTTAGAGGCATCTGTAAAACATCCCAACAGCGGAAGGACCCTTGGATCGCCTCGTTATTGAATATGCTTTCTGACGCATCAACTTCCGGTTACCCGCGTGCTCTTCGCCGCCAAGCAACGCATTTCGCCATACGGGATGGCCTGTTATACCGTCGCAACTATCAAGTGGCGGGTCGTAAATGGCTGCTAGTCATACCCAGCCATATGCGGTCTGATATCTGCAAATATTTTCATGCTGAACTGCAACACGCACACGCCGGAGCGCTAAAGACGTATGAGCGGATCCGCCAACGTTACTACTGGCGGGGTATGTACACGTTTGTACGCAAACACATTCGCTCATGTTCCCAGTGTCAGCAGCGCAAGACATTCCCTCATTCACCCGGCCAAGTGCAGCCTTTGCCATGTCCTGCACGCCCATTTGACCGTGTTGGGATTGACCTATACGGCCCGCTACCGTGCTCTGTTGGTGGCAATCGATGGGTGATTGTGGCTGCCGACCATCTGACAAGGTACGCCGAAACGGCAGCGCTACCTTCGGCTGGCGCTCGTGACGTTGCAACCTTCATCTTGCACCGGTTTGTTCTTCGTCATGGTGCACCACGGGAGCTCCTGAGTGACAGAGGACGCGTATTTTTGTCCGAAGTTCTTCA